GCTAATTAATATCAGAACAAGGACTGAAATTGTGTGGTACCCTTTCTACCATGTAACACTATCTTCATGAGTATCATAATAATCATTTATTGGATAAGAGCTACTGGCCATGGACTTACACATCTTTGAAATCTAAGGAAACAGAAAAAATGAAAATATATTAACAGCTCTATTCTCAAAGAATTTAGCTATCTTTCCTCTTCCCACATTATATAGTCTCTTAACTAAAGAAAAACATCAGGGAAGTGAAGAGGAGAAATATGTTGCAATACAGCAGATTTGTACTAAAACTCTTGAGTTAGAAGCTTATGGGTTTGGGAAGCTTGTTTTTCTTACCTGTATGAAATAGTCATCTGAACAATCTCTCTCTTACACACACACACACACACACACACACACACACACACACACAGAGTAAACCAGAAAGGAAAAGAAAATGCCAGGTAAGCCAGGAAAAAAGTAATCATAGTTGTGCCCAGTGATCTCCTTACCCCTCCCCGCATACGTAGTTTTTATATGGCTTTAGTCACTGGGTGCTCACTGTTACATGTGCTTTATCTTTTGTTTGGTCTTTTTAATATACACCTTTCAGTGTATCTTTCTAGTTCACATAATTATCCTTTTATGGGACTGTGGTATTTCATTATACTGTGTAATCATTTCCCAGTAAGTAGATTATTTTTTTAGCCTAATAAAACAGCTCTAAGCATCTTGGCAGAAATGGGCTTTTTTAGTTACTTGACATAGGGGGCTATATTACTGAAGTGATGTTATAGTTGAAAGATATAATTCATTAAACATTCTACTTATGTATATTCAGCTTGTACTGAATGTACAGTACGCAAAGATTGTACTATTTTATAGCACCACTAGCACAGTCTAAAGGCATCGTTAATTGTCCAGCACCTCATCAGCATTTGGTTTTACCATTTTTATCTGTTTATGTTAACTTAATAAATGTGAGATGTTTCCATTTCTTTTTCCTTAATTGAAAAAATAACACATAATTTTTGTAGAATGCTTAGAAATACAGAAAAAAGTAGAGAAATACAGAAAAAGCAGAGGAATCCTGCCACTGGAGATCAGTGTTCCCTCCTTCACTACGTGTAATTTGCTCAAATGAAGTCTATTTTTTCTAAGAAGGTCCCCGGAGAAGGAAATGTTTATCTTGCAAAACTCTGAGAAATTAAGGCCAAGTTTTATCTATACCCTGTGCTACCCATGCATGGTTCAGCGCAGCCTCATTTTTCCCAAAAAGTTATCCTTCTTCCACCTTTGAGTTTGGAGGCACAGGAGCCTGCAGGAAGGTCAAAGTTAAAAGGTTAAAGGAAGTGGCTGAGAGAGGTAGAAGTCTCTCAGTAGGTTAAAGTATTGAAAATCAACTTTCAAAGAGAATTTTTTTCTGAATATAAGAGTACAGGGGATGGGAAATCCTGCTTTTCACTTGACATTTGAGACCTAACTTATTTTACTTCTTTTAAGACAATTTCTAGCCCTGGCAGAGTAGCTTAGTTGGTTAGAACATCATCCTAGTACACCAAGGTTGCAGGTTTGATCCCTGGTCAGGGCACATACAAGAATTAACCAATGAATACATGAATAAGTGGGACAACAAATCAGTGTCTCTCTTTCTCTCTCCCTCCTCTCTCTCTCTAAAGTCAATACAAAAAAAAAAAATGTCCAGAGAAAAGAAATTCTATGAACTACTAGCTGAAATCCCCGCCCTCTTAGTCTGTAGTATGTACAAGCTGATGTGTGGATGGCTTCACAGAGAATGTTTAAGGGGCGTTCACACTACACAGAGTTACTACAGTCAGCTGACAGGAAGGAGGACTCGGAGGGGGGGGCAGTGAGGTCAAGGCCTAGGACATTCCAGAAAGTCTTCAAGTGTCTTGTCTCTTCTCTCTTTTCTTAACAGACTATGATGTCTAGGGTTCCCTCAGGCATCTGAATAAAAAAGGGCTGAAAAGCAATAAAACTATGTTACAGAGGAGTATTTCAGTATCAGAATTCCTGTTGTTTTTTTTTTCTGCTCTCCTCTACTTCCTTAAGAAATATTGGAGGAAACTCCTCCTTCTTCCTGTACCTCAGATTACCACTTGCAAAATGAGGATCATGAAAGTTGTAGTAAATGCATCTGAGATCTTGTTCTTCTGCATATTTGAGTGGTTTGGAGATGAAAAGATATTTTGAAAATACTTCACCAGGGATTTCCTTAAAGCTCTCTTAGAGCTGTATTCCTCCCCAGAACCAGTGTCAATAAAACTGTGATTTCCAGAGATGTTTCTCTTTTTCTATTTTTCTAAGACCAAATAGCTTTGCACATTCACTTTTTTTAGTATTTGAAAGAAGATAATTCAGAGTATCGGTACCCTCATAAACCAGAAGGTTTTTTTTTCTTAAAGGCCCTTTATGTAACCTGAAGTTTTACATGAAAAACTAGCAAAGATTGGAAATTTTATGCATCTAAAGCTGAAGGAAGTCTGTGCCCTGGCAGAACATGTGTTCTAATTCTAAATGATCTTGCTCCCAGTGATGCCAGTGCAGGGACTTTCGTGTGACTGTAAAGTACAGACAGAAAACCGAACTCTCAGCAGGTTGTGACATGTAACGTACTTTTTGAATTGTACTTGAACTTTACCTTTGACAAGATGTAAATATTTGAAATATTGCTCTAGTATTAAAAATGAAGAACCTATTCACCTTCAGGGGGGTTTTTTTAGTGTATTTCCAGGCTTTCTCTCCTTTTGAGCCCTGAAGATTCTGATTTTTATAGCAATCATCTCACAGTGCAGCAGCATTTGGGACAAATCTTTGGAATTTCCTGTACTTTAATTATTTGCAAATGAGAAATGTTTTGGGAAAAATGTGGATGGGGGTTATCCTGCCAAATTTATCTTTTCTCTTTGGCAAGTGATCTTCTTTTCCAGACGAGCGACTGCTCCCAAAGCAAGAGTGTGTTGCATCATCTGAGTAACGAGGATGTGATTAATGGTGCAGCTGACCTGAGTGTGATGGGGCGACGTTAGAGTTGCTATCGCTAATTTTGGCTTTTATTAAAAATAGATTCAACTAATAATATAAATAGCAAAGCTGACTGGAGATAAATTATTTTAAATGTGCAATATTAAATTTGCAAGAAACTGGTTTTGTTTTTTGTTGTTGTTGTTTTTTTGGGGGGTATAATACAAGCAGACCAATCCACTGCTCTGACTTCTGAAGGTGGTATGTAGGGATATGGCGATGTGGCTTAAAATAAGTGATAGTTCAGTCTTAAACTTTACTGTTGAGTTGATTAATCCATTGAACTTAGAGGTGTAATGGCTATTTTACTAATGTTGAATTCAAAAGCGTACTAAATCTTATCTCCTGTTACACAGGACTTCAGATATCTTTTCTACTTCATGTTATCTTGAGATATAATTGATAGGATACGGCTGAAGGCTCTCATTACTGTCTTAATACACATGACATGCTGTGTACCAGGGAACATTCTGTGGCCCTGAGTGACTTTCTAGTGAGTTACTTTTCTAGGTTTAAAAGTTATAATTTGTGTCCTGACCAGGTAGCTCAGTTGTGGGTTTGACCTCTGGTCAGGGCACACACAAGAATCAACCAATGAATGCATAAATAAGTAAAACCACAAATCAATCTCTCTCTCTCTTTCTCTCTCTCAAGTCAATAAATAAAAATTTAAAAGTATATAATTTGTAACTTTAATTAGAGATCTACTTTAAGATTTTATTTATTTATTTTTAGAGAGAGGGTAAGGGAGGGAGAGAAACATCGATCAGTTGCCTCCCATACGCACTCCAACTGGGGGCTGAACCCGCAGCCCAGGCAAGGGCCCTGACCAGGAACTGAATAGGCAACCTTTCACTTTGTGGAACAATGCCCAACCAGAGCCACACTGCCCAAGCAGAGCCCAACCAGCTGAGCCACACTCGGTCAGGGCTAGAGAGCTACTTTAGATCAAGAGATAGAACTGTAGTTATTTACGGGATCACAAAATACTTCAGTCAAAAAATCTGTACCATTCACTTTCTCCTTAAAAAAGAAAAGCGTGGTCTCTGCCCTCAGTAGGATTCCAATCCAGTAGAGGGACACACAACAATTTGATAAGCAGTGTACTGGAAGTGTAACCAAGTGCCTTGGGTGCAGAGAAAGGACTACTCGGACTTAGGTAGCACAGGTAGGACAGACTTCACAGAGTTGCTTAGTTTACACCATGTCTTGAAGAAACAGGCATAAAACAGAAGGATAAAGTGGTAATCCAGGTAAGGGGAACTCATTGACAATATCGTGGGCCTCACAGCAGTTTGCTTTTCCTGGAGGATAAAGATAAGGAAAAGAATATACCCAGAGAGGGGAGGTAGGGGCCAGGTCTAGAACTGGTCTTCTGTGACATACTAAGCACTTCAGATTTAATTCAAGGAGTGATCGGGAATCCTTAAAGAATTTTAAACAAGAGAGTAATGTAGATGTATACTTGGGGGTAATTATGTATTTTGCACGACTTGGGAGGATGCCAGCATCACAGAGACTTGACTGGACGGTGGAAGGACCGTTTAGGATGGTAATTCAGTGGTCCGCCCAGGGCAGCAACAGCAGGGGTAAGGCAGATGGAGAAGGGGAACAGCAGATACCGCCATCCGGACCTGGCACTTTGGAGACGCGTGTCATTATTGTCTGGGATGTGAAGAGTCCCCTCAATGACTATTTAAATTACAAGGCTTTCTGGTGAAGCTGGTTAGGCGGTGATTACTGACAGGGAGCATAACCTAAACATAGTTAACTTATTTTTCCCTGGGTGCCTGTGAATAGGTAGTGCTTAATATTTATAATACTAAAAACACCTTCTGTGGAATATAGAAACTAATATAAAGTCTAATCTCTTCTGGATTTTATTTATAAAGGAGATTTGCAGTCATCTTTTTTGAACATTGCATCAAGATTTCCCATCTTCTATGCAAAATTTATTGCCGGGTTTTGTTTTCCAGATTCTTCGGGCCCAAAGCCGAAGTGCAGGTGGAAGGAAGATCTCTGAAAACAACTATTCTCTGGATGATTTGGAAATAGGGCCAAGTAAGCAGACAGTTCTAAGTGCATGACATTCTCTGGGAAGTACTCATCAGTAAACAGCCAATGCTTTGAAGGAAGAGTGGCACAAATTAAAAGGAAGTCTATCTGTTATATACAAGCCATTCCCAAACCACACTGCTCTCCACAAATAGCTTCTCTGTATTTTTAATCCATCCTCATCAGTGGTAGCCTGTGGTAGACAAATGGTACCTCTGCAGGATTCCAAGAGAAGCACTACGGGCAGTTTTGGCTCCGTGGTCACCTGAGGCATGAGGGCTCCCATCGATGGGCAGTATCCTCCATCAAGATTGGCTATCCTGTACTACCGATGGTAACAAAACATTTTGAGGGTGGAATTATTATGTTTTGAAGGGTATACTAGGTACTGTACAAAAGAAAAAAATGAATTAATAAACATAAAACCATCAGCCTCCTAGTAATCAAAGAAATGCAAATAAAATTACATCGAGATCTAATTTTTTTTCTTATGTTAAATAAGCCAAAAATTTTAAATATACAACACTCAATTATGGTAAAGGTTCTCCCTATAATGTTGGGGAAGTGAGTGAATATTACATACAGTTGACAGTTATATTCCTGCTTTCCTTCTCTGTACTCAATCGAAGAAATTGATTCCATTAAATTACAGTCCCCCCAAATTGGGAATCTGACACCACTGAAAGCACATTTTATTTTCTAATAAAGCTTTTTTTTTTTTTTTCATGCTTCCAGGTCAAGTGTCAACTCCTGCATTCAGCTTGGAGAAAAGTGAGACTAGACGAAATCTGGAGATCCCACGCCTGTCAGAAACCTCCATAAAGGATCGAATGGCCAAGTACCAGGCAGCTGTGTCCAAACAAAGCAGTTCTACCAACTATACAGTATGTGTTATGTATCATTCATTCATTCACTCATTCATCCAGCAGTGGTCACTGAGAGCAGAAACTAGAAATGTTGTCAGACCCTGACTTGTGAGCCCTGGCTCCTTCCCTTGTCTCCCCACCCTTCATTCTCTTTTCACAGAAATCCTGCCTTAGTTTTATTCTCCATCCTTCCCACGTTCTAATCCTTTCTTCGAGTTCCTAGGTCTCATTCCCACCCCACCTGTTTTTTTGTGATGTTACCATCTAGTAATATCACTGAGAGTTTTCCTGTCTCTTCTACTTAATCTTGGTTTCTTTGTTAAAGAAGTAGTATTTTATTAATTTTAACAGAAACATTTATTTTTGTTTTTGAGGGAAGAAAGGGCAGATAGTGGAGAGAAATATCAAATATATTCAGCATTAATATGGGGTGGGTTTTTATATTTTTTATTCATACATAATTCATATGACAAAATCACCATTTTAAAGTATAAAATTCAGTACTTTTTAGTATATTCACAAGGTTGTGCAACCATCACCACTAATTCCAAAACATTTTCATCATCCCAAAAAGAAATCAGGTGCCTGCACACTCACTCCCAGTCCCCCTGGCCACCACTGATCTACTTTCTATCTTTATGGACTTGCCTCTTTCCGACATTTCTTACAAATGAAATTCTACAATATATGGCCATTTAATCTTCACTACTTGTTATGGGATGATTTTCTTAAAAAAAAAAGTGGGTGAGAAAAGGGGAGAGAAATGAGAAGATGACGTGCTGAGTAAGAACATAATATTTGGTATTCTAAATAGAATGGAGGGTCTTTTCATTTTATACTTATCTAGGCTTAACTGGCAGGGTGACACTATGGAACTTCTTAGCTGAAGTTATCTTTTAAATGCCCTTTGTTTGTATGTGCCCACATGTATATGCACATGTACATATATCTATATATGTATCTTTCAAATATTTGTTCCTTGTGAGATTGCAAATTACAGACTATTAACTAATCTCTTGATGTCTTTGTTAACAAAGTTGGAGGACTCGAATTGAATTGTGTTGTTCCCAGGCAGACTGAAACCGGTGCCTGTAGGAAATCATAAAGCGTGTTGCAGGAGTTGAGCCTTCTATTTCCCACATGATTAAGTATGCATTCTAGTAGTATTTATTGGTGGCCAAAGTCTCTGAGCAATGAATAATTTCATCGTGATTTTTCAGTGTAATGTTCAGAAGAGATGTGTGTAAATCAATGTTGAGTATGAAAAGTGAGCAAACCTAGACTTCCCTTAGAGGGCAGGACAGGAGATAGAGCAAACAGGTGATCGTGCAGCTTTATTCCCTCTTGTTCCAGGATTTTGCTGCTTCTCAGTGCCCTCCTGCTATAAACATTCCGGCCAGGTGACTCCTTAAGTGGAAAAACCTGTTCAGTGACTTTTTTTTTTAACTCTTAATAGTTTCTGCCTTGCATTTCTCCATCTCTGAAAATTTTAAGAGTTGAAATACTGTAGGAATTCTTGTAAAAAGTAAATTTTATCTCATCTCAAAAGAATTTCTCGGGCCGCTTCACAGAGGTAGGTTGTAACAAGGGACAGGCTCCATGGCAGGGGCTCTGGCGGCTGGGCTTTGAGCTGGGGTCCCGAACGAGTGGTTGGCCTGTTGCACTCTTATCTTCCGCAGTGCTGGCTGCCAGCTCCTTCCCGCAGATGCACCTCCAGAATGTGGGCCTTAATCTGGAATTCCACACATGAGTAAATCAGTCACACTCACACCCCCTTCATTGGCCTAGTGGCCATAAATTGTTTTCTCCCATGCCTAAAGAATCACAGGGAACAGAAAGGGACTAGATTACTAGCAGATTCATGATAGGAAATGTTCATATTCACCTACCTCTATATTGATTTTGGGTCTAATAGATAAAGTTAATTTTAATATTTTGCCCCAAGTGGTCTTTGCAAGAAAAAAAAAACTGTGCTTATTCTTATGACAGTATTAATGCCTGCTTTTTATGTTGAGGCTCTGTTATGAGAAGTAGAATAAGGTAGGTCTTTAGTACCATGTGTGAATTTTATGCAAAAAATATGTTTTTGAAGTCTCATTTAAGAAGGTTTTATGGTATCATTTTTATAATTTGCTTTCATATGTGTACATCATCCGTCTCTCTTTCCAGGCCGAGCATATATGTGTATATGGTCAGTATATTTTCTTGATTATTGGCACTTGGCACCTCCTTTCCCTGCTCCAGAATGGTCTTTTCTGATAAAACTCACCAGCTTTGCATTCCCACAAGCTCTGCTGCTAGAAGAGTGAATCACAAGAACATTGTACGCGGGGGGTGGTCTGTGTGTGTGCCTGTGTTGATGTGGCTGTATTCTAATGAGCATCGGTTTTACCTAGTGTACAGATATTTAACTCTGAGGTGTGTGTCCACAAAGCTGCTTTTGTCATTTCACAAGTCCAACAGGTTTTGCTTGTGAGAATTAGGGGGTTGATTTGACCTCCGGCCTCTTAAAAGAATTTTTTTGTTCACATTCCAAGTTTACTTAATTGTGCAATGAAGAGAATAGGATAGTGAGAATTTATTTTACTTTATTTTTGAGACTTTTTAAAAAGTTCACAGGCTATTTTTGTTTTTTCAGAATGAACTGAGAGCCAATGGCAGTGAAATCAAAATTCATAAGTTGGAGCAAAAGGAGAATGTACCCCCGGGTCCTGAGGTCTGTGTCTCCCATCAAGATGGAGAAAAGGTGGGTTGGAAAGTCTGATGTCCAGTTGCCAAGGAACCATGTGTTCTAAATTAGATGCTCAAAATTAGAAACCACTCTGACTCTGGGCTTCAGAGTGTCTGGGAATTTGGTGACAGCTGCCAGGACAGATTGTTGTTTTTGCAGGTCACATAATTTCGGGTGGGAAGCTCTGCAACTTATAGCTGACCAAATAATGAACCCTCAGTGGAAAATTCTTTTGCTCAGCAGATGCTCAGAGAGCAGAGAGCTAAAATTATTTTTTAAAATCTGTTTTGATTATAAATATTATCTTCAAAGTATTTGTATATTATTAACTCATTTTGTGCAAGAACATTTTATTCTTTTACTCAAAGTATTTTGAAAGCTAAACACTATACTAAGCACAAAAAATGCTAAGCTTAAAAACTACATATGAACATACTGTTCCATGTGGTCTTTATCTGCAAGGAAGCTAACAGTCGAGGGGAGAGGAGTAACAGGTTGGCAGTCATAAAACAGTGTGATCAGCTGTGAGAGGACAATGCAGGGCCATGGAATCTGAGGCTAAGGACACTTACCCCAACTTTCTCAAGAAGGTGATTTCCTGAAGAGTCAAAGTAGGCCAAGTGAATAAGAAGTTGAAGTAAAGAAAGAGGAGGATATTCCAGGAAGGCATAACAGAGGAGTGGAAATTGGAGATCTAAACCAAGATGACTTGGCTAGAGAAGGAGGTCTGTACAGGCAATGGTGAGAGACAGGTGGAGGGAGAAAGCCAGGGTGGGTCTTAAAAAGCTTTGTATGCCACCCTTAAGAATTTGGAGGAAGTCCTGCAGTGGTAGAAAGTCAGGGGGAGGTTATAAGCAAATTAGATTTGTATTTTATGCATTTAACATTAGATGAATGGCTTTGTTGGATTAAGCAACAATGTGTACGGCAGGTGAATTTATCGTTTTCTCTGCCGATCCATTACCCAAACTCTTCAGTCTTTTGGTCAATGTAATAATTAAATGTTAAGTTAGATGAGGAGGAAGAGCTTCAAATCTATGACAGTGATTAATGTTAGGAGAAAAAACATTGTTTCTGTTATACATATGGACCCCCTTGAGGCCATTCTTCCAAGAGGTGAAGAGATCATTAAAACTAGTCAACAGCAGTAGTTCTCAAACGTATTTCACTATGACAGACTTTTGAAGGTTTGCTGTATTGACAGAATACTGGCAGGAAGCCACGAGACATGCTGCACACTTGGTCAGACCGCAGTGGGCATGCGGGAAAATGGTCTCGGATGGCTACGTGGTATGAATCACAGACTAGAACAGGAAAAAAATTTAGAAGAATTAAATCACTTTGCTTTACAAAAACATTACAAATCTCTGTTGAAATAATAAGACAAAACACTTGGCAGTAATTTGTTTCATAATCATAAAGCAATCAAATAAATCACATGCATCCCTGCAACAGTGAGCTCGGGCATTAGTCACATGGCTTGCACATCATGTAGCAAGTGAGTTCTCTCATTAGATTCCTGGGTTTCCCATTTTTTAAGTGGAAGGTTGTCTTAAGAATAAGTAAATATGTTTGGAGTTTTTCTTATATATTATAAAAAGGACATTTTAGCCCCAGTGGGTGTCGCTCAGTGGATTGAGCGCTGGCCTGCAAACTGAAGGATCACTGGTTTGAGTCCCAGTCAGGGCACATGTCTGGGTAGCAGGCCAGGTGCCCAGTGGGGGCATACGAGAGGCAACTGTGATGCTTCTGTCACACATCCATGTTTTTTTTTTCTTTCTCCCTTACTTCCTCTCTCTCTAAAAATAAACAAATAAAAGATTTCTTTAAAAAACATTTTAGGGAAAAATATTCCCGGCACTGAAATCCCCCAGTCTACCCTAGGTGCATAGTTTGAGAAATGGTCCTTTGGAAAATAATGCTCGCATTGCCCCTATCCCTATATCTAATTTCATGCTTTTTTTTTTTTTTAAGAGCAGTGTATTTTTTTTCAAAGACTTTATTTATTTATCTTTAGAGGGCAAGGAAAGGAGAGAGGGAGAGAAATATCAATGTATGGTTGCCTCTCGTGCGTCCCCTGCTGGGAACTGGCCTGCAACCCAGGCATGTGCCCTGACTGGGAATTGAACCTCGACCCTTTGATTCGCAGGCCTGTGCTCAATCCACTGAGCTATGCCAGCCAGGGCCTAATTTCATGCTTTCTTGATTGGGTTCATGATTTGAAACTGGAACCCTGAGCTGAACTGGAGGATGGGAACATTTTAATTATAGCCTAAAAGAGGATCAGTGCAACTGAATCATGAATTGGGGAGTGGCTGGGGAACAAAGGTGTTAAAGACGGGGCATCATCTTCAAGCACACACTGCAGGTTCATAAACACTTGGCTGCCTTAAAATTTGTAACATTTTTCAGAGCCTCAGTTTTTCTTTTAGTTATTTGCCTGGTATTTGTTTATCAACACCTAAGGACTATTTGAACTTTGGTTTGTTGCAAAAAGACACTGATGCTAGGGTGAACTTGCCTTAAATGGAATAGTTTGTAAAGGAATTGTTCGTCCCTTTCTCCTCTTGTGAATGAATTTGTACTTCCCTTTCATGAAATGTTTGAGCAAAATCTCACGTGCTCTCTCCTGGCTGTGCCTACAGTGAAGTCATCTGGTTGGACATGTGCGATGATGTCAGATTGGCATTAACTTTACCCTTTAGGTTCAAGATAGTCAAGTTAGAGATGAGAGAACACCCTGGGGTGGATGCACCTACTAATTAGCAAGAATTAAAGAGCTGTTCATGGCTATGCACAGCTGTCAGGAAATTTATTTCATATCATTAAATGAAATGATGCATGTAAGGTGATCATTTTGGTGATTAATAGTAAATATTGGATGTCATTATACGAGTTCATTTTATACCATATCAGAGTTCCTGTAATGAAAAAAGAGTGGTGTGAAAAATAACTATGCTGAAATTCAGGTGCAGTCAGGCAACACCTTAATCTCCAATATTCCATCGCAGATGTGTTCAGTGCATTACACAGCCTGATACAAACTCTCAGCAACACTCATAGAACCCCTGACGTTGAAGTAAGTTATTACATGAAGAGTGCAAATCCGGTCACCTGTTGACCGCTCACTTTTCTGTGGAGGAAGATCCCAGGAAGGCCTAGGGGCCGGTAGAAAGGAGAGAGAAAGCTAGTAGAAAGTTCTCCTATTTAAATTTGATGGCTTCTGGGGGAAATAGACACCGATACACTGAGATCTGCTGTCTTAATGCTGCCATGTTGAGGCTGAGATTAAATGGGAACTTAACCTTGAAGGTAATGACAGAGGTTGGTTTTAGATAAACGTGTTTGACAGCTATAAGGAAGTCTTCTATACCAGCAAGCTTGTTTCACCAGAATGTATTTGGTTGGGAAATAAAGAGCTAGGAAAATTAAAGACTAAGAATACTTTCTATATGTAAAGACTTAATTTTGCCTTGGAGTGAGTTATGGTTACATGAGTTATGGTTTGTGGTGAGAGCTTTGTGCTCCCTGATAGAGGGTTTTGTTTGCACCCCCCTTTTTATGACAATCAAAAAAATATGGTTTGGAAGTTCTTTTGTGAAGGGAGATGATGCACAATTTTGGCAGCGGAGTGCAGTCTGTTTCTGGCCTTACTCTGTAATTGAGAGGCATGTTAATATCCTCATAAAAGACATTTTGCTGCCTCTTGTTTAAATGCTCAGCTGTTCTGGGGCCCGTTATTTCCCCCAGGCAGCCAGTGACTGACTGGAGTCAGCAGGTTTCTATGGCATTAACAGCAGTTTGCTCATTTATTTTTAATGTGATTCTTAATTCCACCCCCCTTTTTTTTGTAGGTTTCTGCAACAGAGAATAGCCTGGCAGCCCGTTCCTCCCTTACTGAAGCTGACTTCAGTAAGCATTTGCTCTTAGATCTAGAGGGTGAAGCTTTTGTTCTCTATCTCATATTTGGTTGTCAGGGGGGTGTCTCTCCATTGCTGCACGTGTTGAGAAAGTAATATTAAGTTCAGCTCACCAGATCTTTCACTTGGTTTTAAGGACGGATGCTTGAATACCCTTCATACATTTCATGGCTCAGGGAGAAGTTAAATTCAATTATATATGATTAACTTGGGGCAAACTGAATACTACTGATACTCTCTCATTGAACTTATCCTGCTTTTCGTACCAAATCTTTTCGGGTTTAGAGCTGTTAAAAATGAATTATGAAGTTTCATTTTAATAAAAGTTTGGCCAAGGAGTTCATTCATTTAAAGAAATAAAGAATTGGTATTTGAGTATCCTGTTAAAACTATCTTTCCCCACTTATCTAAATGTGTTATCATAATCCACCCTCAAGCCAGATTCTAGAGATTTCCTTGTTGGTGTTGAATTTGACCACCTTTTCATGTATTTTGGAGTCATTTTGAGCCTCACTTCTCCCAAAAATAAAAACCTTTGTTTTTTTCCCTTTACTATATATCCTTTTGGATTTTGATTTTCAGTGTTTTATATATGTAATTTTTATATATGTATTTGGATTGCTACCTTCTCCCCGGTTACTTTATTAGATGCTGAAAACTCAGCAACTAAAGTAGAAGTGCCAACTAAACAAATCTCTAACAAGCCCTACCTTAAAATTTCGAAGAGAAACTCTTGCTGCTCCAATCCAGGAACATTCCTTTGCAATCATTTTGCTTGGACTAGAAATTTTTCTGAGCTTTGACCAGGTTTGCAAAACTTTTTTTTAAAAAAAATGAGCTGTAATCTTTTAGTACTTTGTTGACTTAACTCTAGATTATAAGGAATTCTTTTATTTTCCTTGGCAGCTGTGTAAATGACTTTTCTGTGCCTTCTGAGTTTTCCACATGATGAATGTATTGGCAGGAAATGAACTTATGAGGCAAAATGTCAGTGATTATGAAGAAAGAAACTTCATGGAGCCTTTTTCCATAATCTTTATTCGTGGATATCTGCAATAGGACTGACCAAAACGACAGTGTCAAATTCTTCTCTTTCTCTCCCTTCCTCCCTCCCCTTCCCCCTTTCTCCCTCCCCTTTTCTCCCTCCCTCTCTCCCTCTTTCATATATGCGCTCTAACATTTCTGCTCTCAAGCACCCCAGAAGGAGTTACTGGGAATACTAATTACCAAAAAGTCATCAAAGTCTATAAACAGCCTTTAGAAATGACAAAAACTACAGGGCAGAAAGTTCCTTATAGAGAGTGGTTTGGATTCCCGCTGTTCGTGGAAAGGCTGAGAAAGCCTCCTGGCAGAAAACCTGGTTTATGAGAGAACCTAGGAGCATAGCTTTTAGCTTTAGAATATTTCTCAGTGGAAAAGCAGTGTTCTTCTTGGTGTTGAAATGACCTGTTATCATTGAAGGTGTCTAAACTTTGCTTTGGGGAGGAAACTTTTCTGATATTCTCCATGAGGTACTAAAAAAATGTCTTCCTTTTGTAACTCAAGCAGGTAACTCCCAGGTTAAGAGTGAGATCCAGCAGCCTGTCCATCCCAAGCCACTGAGTCCAGAGGCCAGAGCCCCCAGCCTTTCTGAAAGTTCTCCTCCCAAAGCAGTGAAGGTATGGTGGCAATTTCTCTCCGAGCCTTTAGACATTAGTTTACTTAGTAGAGCTTACTGCACCTTCTATCATGTTCCTTATAACCTGTTTTTGCTTTCCCGGGGATGAAAATACCAAACAAGGACGCACTGAAGGCCAGTTACTTTTCCTGGAAGTCTCTCTGCTTCTGCTCAGATGTTTGGTCCAGGAGGCAGGGAAGCTGTCTCTCTAATAGCATGCAGTTTGAAATCTGGAGAACTCATGAAAGTTTTAAGAAAACCTAAAGTTAAAGAAAATAACATGATTTTTTTTAAAGTCCAAGTTCATAAATCTGTGAATGGGTAAAAGATCACAAAATGGGAACCATGAGAAATCCATTAAGCTAAAATCAGCCCCTTGGACAGGAGCGTGCAATGTCGACTTCAAGAGAGAGAGGCTCCCGGTGTGAGGAGCACTGCCACCCCATGCTTAGTGGCCAGCGCATTGGAAGAAAGAATGTGACCTTCCGGTGAGGGCTGGCAGCCAGCCCATGTGCTGTAAAAATGGGCATTCAAGTAACACTTATGCTTTGCTATAATATTAGATATTAAGGAATGAACCAAATTTTTGTCGTCCCCCCCAAAAGATTTTAGTTGGCTAGTAGAATGGTTTCTTGTCATTCACCAATTTTTTAAAACCATTTTTTTCTTTCTATGAACAAATATATGTTCCCATAGAAATAAACAAAGGTAAAAAAAATCCAATACCTATTGTAGGCTGATTATTATTAAAACTGACTTCTTTTTTTTTTATCCTTACCCAGGGACATGTTATTGATTTTTAGAGAGGGGAAGGGAGGGAGAGTGAGAGGGAGAAAAACATGGATGTGAGGGAGAAACATTGACCAGTTGCCTCTCACACACGCCCCAACTGGGGGATGAGCCCACAACCTAGGCATGTGCCCTGAGTGAGCCGCACAGGCTAGGGCTAACTTGTTATAATTGAATGCTTTGCTAATATTGTGCTAACTTACTCTGTGGGATTAATAGCAAAACATACCCATATTTCTTTAATGTCTTGCTCCTCTGGTGTTCTCTTAAGTTTTGTTTCAAAACTTAACATTTGAGAGAAACTTAGCAGGCAGAATTAGTTTTCAGGTAGCTCATACTGCCCCGTCCTCATGCGCACATCTGCCCTGCATGCATCTCTCAGCTGCAGGCTTGTGTGGCTCCTATGAAAGTTCCAGTGCACAAACATGAAGAGAACGCAGGCCAGGAAAGGGGAGAATCCAAGATGTAAAGGGCGGATTAAAATGGGGGCAGGGGTAAAGAAGGTAAACATGAACATTTTTCTGTTGTTTTTAAAAGATTTTTAAATTTATTTTTGGAGAGAGGGGAAGGAAGAGAGAAAGAGAGGGAGAGAAACATGGATCATTCCCCAACTGGGGACCTAACCCACAAATGAGGCATGTGCCCTGACTGGGAATTGAACTGGCCACCTTTTGGTCTGTGGAGTGATGCCGAACCCACTCACTGAGCTACGTCCGTCACTCAGAGCTAAACATGACCATTTTAAAGGAAGCAGAGATTCTGAATGGAAGGGCAGATAAAGTACTTCTCAGATAAGATCAAATTCAAGAAGTTCATCATCACCAAGCCCTTATTATATGAAATGTTAAAGGGACTTACCAAAGAAAAAGAAGATAAAAAAGATGAACAGTGAAAGGACAGCAAACTCACAGTTATTAACAACCACATCTAAAACAAAAGCAAACTAAGAGGACAGCTAGATTAGGAGCAGAAGCATAGAAATGAAGATCATATGGAGGGTTAGCAACAGGGGAGTGGGAGAAGGAGAAGGGGGGAGAAGGTATAGAAAATAAGTAGCATAGATGGTAGGTAGAAAATAGATGGGGGGAGGGCAAGAATAGTATGGGAAATATAGAATCTAAAGAACTTGAGACACGTGGTCATAAACTAAAGGGGGGAATGGTAGGGGAGGGGGTATGCAGGGTGGAGGGGAATGAAGGGGGGAAATAGAACAACTGTAATGGCATAATTAATAAAGTATATTTTTTTAAAAAGGAAGCCCTGGCTCGTGTAGCTCAGTGGATTGAGCGCAGGCCTGCGGACCAGACATTCGAGGTTCGATTCCCAGTCAGGGCACATGCCTGGGTTGCAGGCCAGTTCCCTGCAGGCCAGTTCCCAGCAGGGGACGCATGAAAAGCAACCATACATTGATGTTTCTCTCTCTCTCTCCTTCTCTTCCCCTCTAAAGATAAATAAATAAAATCTTTAAAATAAAATAAAATAAAAATCTTAAAAAAAAGGGAGCAGAGATTCATGAGGAGAGTAAGGTTTATTGAAAAGGGTAAAAATACAGCAAGGGAAAGCAAGTATAGGGAGGGTTATAGTCATTGAATTTGCACATGTACTCAACATGACCCTCTTCTCTTCTGGCCTTAACGATCCACTCATGCTGTCATCAGCACTTTCTTTTCCAGTATTTGGAGTCCAACAAAGTAGCAAATGCCATGGGGTTAATTTCCTCTCCAACAGCAGCCCTGCCCAGATGTTAGTCCTTGGGTTATAGTTCTGGATCAAGGACAGCTAGCAAATCTGACTTGGCCATGGATTCTGTATGACTGAGGGACTAGGGAAATTCCATGGCTAATCTAAGAACTGAAATCTGTTTTGGAGTATTTTTGAATTCTCAATCCAGTCTTAAATCCCTTCCTTAACGACTAGACCAGACCTCCTAGTCCTTGATTGTATCTTTAAGATCCATCCTGATTCAAACTCCAGGGTCTGAGCTGACCAGCACTGAGCGACAGACATCTCAGTTAGGTCTGCCTGGCATACCGCGCAGAGGAGATGGGGGTGGAGTGCCACGCGCACCTTCCCCAGACCCGGGCCTGCTTCTTTGGCCCTGGTTGCTCAGCAGTAGAGTGCAGACAGGCCTGCTTTCACCAGCCACACACGTCGTCTAGGACCGGATGAAACTGGCCTGCTGCCTGTGTTTGCCCATAGTTCAAAGCTCAAATGGTTATGGTGCACAAGCCTGGGGTGGGGCCCAATCACGTCTCCACTTTTGTTTAAGAGCAGTTTATTATCTCTTCCTCACATTGACCCTTTACATTCTGCAGGCAAGTATGTAGGTGTGTTAGTGTTTACAGGAAGACCTGCTGGTGTAACTGGTCTTGTGGCTATAGATCAGGCAGTCCACATTGTGTCTTCATTTTGGGAAGAATAAACTTGTTCACTCAGAATACATTTTTTGGGGTCCCACATACCCTGGAAAAACTCTCCCTTAGTGCTTTTGGCCATAATTGAAAATAGGACATCTAAGGTTGAGATTCAATTCATTTCAAATTTTAGTTTAAATTTTCTTAAAAAAATGATACTGGTCTTTAAAAGTAAGGATTTTATATATTTTGAACACTAACCAAATAGCTCAGTTGATGAGACTTGGTGCTGATGAAGTAGAAGTTGCAGGTTCGACGTAAAACCTGTGAATAACATCCAAAAAGGGAGTTATTCCGGGTGCAGAACCCAGTGGTCCCTGTGAAAGGATCAGAACATTTTGACTCAAGAGACCCAGAAGTCTCTTAGGCTTTGTGTTCTCCCATTGAAAGAAGTCACTCCCTAAATGTTCCCAGAGGGGAAGATAAGGGAGGAGATACAAGGAGAAGTAGCTGGCCCTGGAAACACCCGCCGTACCCCCTGTGTCCAGGGTGGCCCTGTCCCAGGCTTCCTTGGCTGGTCCTGCTGGCAAATGTGGAGAGAAAACATGGGAGACTGCACAAGAGGGCCCCTCCGTGCCCTGCCAGCTGTCCCTTCCTCTGCAGGCAGGATAGGAGGTATTATGCTCTTTTGCAAAGTAATCAGAATTATGCTAGAAAGGCATCCAGAATCTCTTCTCACTATCTACATTATTCCTGCTTTCTCAGAGCACTAACCTTTCCTGTACATGGATAGCAGTCTGTTTAAGATGCGAATATCCCCAAAATGCTTTCAGAAAGTTTTGCAGAAGGCTAGGGGAAGGGTTAAGGCTGTACAGAATTGGCCCAATCATTTACTGTGTGACGAAGAATTTTAATTTAATTACCTAGGTATTTTGCACAAATTGGAAGGAGGGAATGGCAGGCATTTTGTGATGTTCTGAATTTCCTTCTGATTAAAGGCTAGTTAACTTCACTGCCTGTTGCCAGCTGCTGCCTCTCATACCACACACATATATACATACCCCAATTGGAGCCTTCATTAGACTAAAAAATATACTTAAGAGAGGAGAATGAAAAAGTGGAGATGAAGTCATACAAATTTGTTGGAAAGACAGTTTTAAGGAGATGCTGCTTAGCAGAGGCCCTGCACGACCCCCCAGCTGGGAAAGACACAACAGCGTTTATGAACATCAATTATGCATAAATTACCTCATTCATTCCTAAGTATCCCATAGATATTATCTACATATTTTAATTTGAAACAAAGACTTTAGTTTGTTCCAAGTGCTATAGTGAGATCATTTTCATTTGGATTAGCATTTGCTCTGTTCTCCCAAAGAGTTTCCTTTAGTTATGGAAGTTTAACATTCCAGGGAAATTTAGAAAATGCTCTGTTAGTTTGTGAGTCGGTAGTTCTGAGTTTTAATGTACTGACTGTGAGAACTTTGATAAGGCATCTGACATCCTGGCGTGTTAGTTTCGACATGTGAAAAAGGGAAGGAGGGAAGATGAGAAAACATCTTACATGCAGAAAAAAAATATTTTTAAAAAGGTCTAACATTCTAACATCGGCAGTGTTTGAAATGTGGCTGTGCCAGGTCCGAGCATACCGTGAAAGTGTGGGCAGGATGTATGCCAGGCCTACCGTAATGCTAGAGATTTGTGGGCATTGACTATGCTTCCTGTTGTCTGAATAGACATGGGGGCAATTACGGAAAAGTGGCTGAGAGCCCAGGACAGAGGAAATAAAGGGAAGGCACAGCCGTAGCCACTCTGACTTGGCATTATACCATGTTGGCACCCTCTTGTCTTCCCAAAACTATAAGGGCCTTTGGGCAGCTGCCTCATAAACCTTAAATAATATTTAAAAGGGGTTATGTAAAAAATGAATAGGACTAATGGGCATCTGGTAGGTGTGGCTAGTTAGAAGCTTGTGGTTAGTCAGATATTTGAGCAGCAGTCCATAGGCATACCTCAGGTATCTGGGTTTGGTTCCAGATGACTACAATAAAGTGAGTTGTAGTTTTTTGCTGATGGAGGGTCTTGGCTTTAATTTGTTTTACCAAAAAAAAAAAAAATTCCCAGCAAAGCCACCAAAACAGAGAGGAGGGGGGGACATCATCTGTGAAGTTCAATAAAGCAATGTGCATTAAAACAAGATATGCCTATATGATTTTGATATTAAAGAGGAAGAATAATTGTTTACTTGTGTGAGTAAAGGCTCCATTCAAGAAAGAGCCATTATGGGTCAGACGTGGGAGGTAGTAAGACACTAAACAACTGTTAATGAAACACTCCTTGTGTGGGTGAAGATTCATAAAAGCCCTCTCTCCTGAGCCGGGACATGTTGCAGCCTCAGGTAGATACGAGTGAGGCTGAATTTGCTGCAATTAGCAGAACTACTTGAAAAAGAGAGAAGACATGTCTTGTTCATGGATCTGAGTCTGTCACTGAATGACAGCTCAGTTGCAGTAAAGCGCTCCAGGGCGCACCAAATGCTGTGTATTCATTGAAGGTTCCTGTTTGTCTCTTCCAGCTTCTGCTTCCTGCTCCCGGTACCTAATTTCTGCTCCTGCCTTCCACTTTCCTCCTAATGTGAGCTCAACTTTCAGCTTTCTCTCAGGTTCTCCCTCTGTTCCCTGGGCCGCACCCCTCTCCCGAGCGTGCTGTCTGTGTGTGCACGGTGGAGGGCTGCTCTGTAACCCTCGATGCCCTTTACGGAGTAATGTCCGTTTCCTCTCAGACCGTGAAATTCGTCTCCTGCTCTGTCTTTACTGACTAGAATGAATGCTTATTTTGCTAAGCCAATTGTTAAAAAATACAGAATTCACCCTGCAGCTGAAAAAGATTCTCAGTCTGATAAATACGTTAGCCTATTCTGTGAATCATGACTTGTACAAGCCCTCTCCGGTGGCTTCGATTGTACTATTATATCCAGTTATTCTGCATTTTAATGTATCTTTTGCTTGCTAGACAAGGACCTCGTCCTTTTAGAGAAACCTAATAGAACTATTTAAGGACAACTCTACTTAAGTCCTTTCTTGTTAGAAGTGTTCATATAAGAAAGAAAGAATTCAGAGCTCCATATAATGCCTTAAGGACTTCCAACGGCAATCAATATAGTAGCATTTGATCACATTCAAATACCTCCCTTATGCTTGGTAAACTATGTTTAGCTTGTGGTCTTTGATTTTTTAGGTTTTTCCATTTTCGAACTGTACCCCTAGGAATGGAGGGGGGTGGTGTTATTGAGGAGCCATTTCTACTCAGTTCTGCTCCTTGTTTCTTAAATCCTTTGGTGCTATTTTGGAGTTTCCCACTAATTTTATTAAATTCCTTTTATTTAAAAAATTTTAAATTTATTTGCAGAGAGGGGGAAAGAGAAGGATAGAAACATAGATGTGAGAGCGAAACATCAGTTAGTTGCCTCCTCCACACCCCCAACCTGGGACCTAGCCTGCCGCCTAGGCACGTGCCCTGACCAGGAACCAAACTGGTGACCCTTTGGATCACAGGTCGGCATTCAGTCCACTGGGCCACATCGGCCAGGGCTAAATTCCTTTTTACAGACCTTTCCTTTTGCCTCCATTTTATGCCCATTTTCTGTTCTCATTTCCTGTCCAAATCTGCTTGAAAAACCATTCCTATTTTTTGCTTTACCTCCTAATGACTCATGTGACAAATGAACCAGCAGTGTGAATTTTTTATGAGTCTATTTTCAGGTTTTTTAAATCAAAATTCTATCTTGCCCATACCTGGTTTATTTTAGGATTACTTAACCATCCAGGTCCTTATTTGCATTATTTCCTACCACACTAGTCTTGGCAGCAAAGCAGCCAGCAACATACCTATGAGAGCTTCCTGGCCACCTTATCCTAAACCGCTTCTGCATTCACTGGTTGAGGTGTTCTGTTGGGGCAAGTCAAGAGTAATACAGGCCTAGGACTTGGTGCCCACCCCTAGTAGCCAGGTAACCATTATTATGTAAGAACTTACAGATTTGCAATTCTGGCTTTCATCAGTGCTAGAATGCTGAGTCTTTTATGTTCTTTAGGGCTGGGTTTACCAGCTGAACAGCTGTGCTCACCCCACCCTGTTCCACACTTTACAAGCAGTTCCTGATTCCCAGTCAGTTATGACTTCTCACTCCCTATTATGTTCATTTTGTTCTCCACTGTTTGTTTTTTTTTATAGGTGATAGAAACCACAATTTTATTGGGCTATGCTTTTTTTTTTCTGGAGTCCTAATAAAATAGTTTTGTCTCGTTTAAATTGTTCCATTTATGTGTCAGTTTTGACTTCTATTAAAAAGATTATGCCTAGTGAATTGAGCAAGTTAAGATTATAAACAGAGGGAACTAAAAGATACTTTATCAAAGTGTCTTCCTAATTCCCAAAGCCAAATACTCTTCCTCTCCTTGAAAATTTTCCCCTTCAGAATTTTTTCTCATAAAAATCTATCCTGTTTTTCTTTGGCACTTGAATGAAACAATCAAACTTCTTTTCCTTGTGTGTGATATTTTCCCCTAATTTCCTGTCTGTGGAAACATTTCGTGTATGTTGTGGCCTGAGCTTTTCTCCTCAATCCAGCTCTAGTCCTACCCACCATCACTTAGGGCATCCCTTGGGAATGGATGGAAAAGGAATTCAGAATAGCCTCTTGGCCTGAAAGAATCAGCCGATAGAATCATAGCAGACTTAGTGTTCCTGTGAGAATTGACAGACCAGGTTAGGTAACAAAGTAAATAGACCCTTAGATAACAAAATTCAGGGCCTATCTCAGCAGAATACTCACTCATCACTGCCTGTGCCAAGTTAAAGTTGTCCTTTTCCTTTTCCTAGAAGTTTCAGGCACCTGCAAGAGAGACCTGTGTGGAATGTCAGAAGACAGTCTACCCGATGGAGCGTCTCTTGGCCAACCAGCAAGTGTTTCACATCAGCTGCTTCCGTTGCTCCTATTGCAACAACAAACTTAGGTAAGCATGGTGGAAATGAGCCATCTTTCTGTGTAGTTGGACCTCTGGAGGGAGTCTTTGGCTTTTAGAACATTGGTACTAACAACTATTGTGCTGACAATGTACTATTAGTTGAAGTCCTCTAAAAAAGGTAAAGAGTACCGTTTAGCGACAAATATTTCACATCACATGATAGTGGTGTTTGGAACTCCTTGGTACATTGATATGTTAATTTACATGTTAAAACTGAAGTTTAAATAATAGAGTTGCAGGTAAAAGCCCCTGTGACCTCATTCAGTAGAATGTTTTCCTTAGTATCAGGGGATCATAAAGTGAAGAAATTTCAGGAGGATACTTGGCTGAGCCCTTCCTTCAGAGCATCCTGAACACTGTATAAATGGTAACAGTAGCAGTAAGAATAGACCCTGAAGAGCATGTATTTTTCTGTATGTTGCTTCATTTTCTTTCTGAGAAAATAATCAGTATTTCTATCATTTCTTCCAAGTAACTCAAAGTATGGGTTTAAATATAGTAAACTGGGGAAATATTCTATTTTAACTCATTTTACTTTTTTAAATTTTTTAAATTATTTATTTATTTATTTTAGAGAGGAGAAGGGAGAAAAAAAGGGAGAGAAACATCAATAGTGTGGTTGCCTCTTGCATGCCCCCTCCTGGAAACCTAGCCTGCAACCCAGGAATGTGCCCTTATCTGGGAATTGAACCAGCAACCTTTTGGTTTGCAGGCTGGCACTCAATCCACTAAGCCATACCAGCCAGGGCTCTATTAACTCATTTTAATTACAGAGTCTAGGGAAGGGAGTAATCAGGATGTTACTTCCTCCAGCTTTCCTTCCAGAGTAAACATCCCTTCTAAAATGCCCTTGATTGGTTCTTGATTGGTTCTTGATTGATTGATTGATTTTAGAGCAAGAGGGGAAGGGAGAGAAATATTTATTGTTCCACTTGTTTATGCATTCATTATTTGATTCTTATATGTGCCTGGACTGCGGATTGAAGCCATAACCTTGGAGTATCAGGATGATGCTTTAACCAATTGAGCTACCTGGTCAGGCCTGATTGGTTTTTTTTGTTTGTTTGTTTATTCATTTTTTGGTAGGTTTTTTGTCCCCACTGTATTTGTTTCCTCCAAAATACATTTTTCTGAATTTTTAAATTTTTATATTTCTGATGTGGAAATGTTGTTGTTTTTATATCCCCTTTAAGATTTGTTACCCTGTAAGAGACACCAAATCTCCTAACAGCCTGTCCAGCACTGACATTCAGGTTGACTTCCTGGGTGCTGCTTACCATTCTATTGAACTGTAGCTTACTTGTTTTCAGTCACTAGTATCTGTTGAGTGCCAGCTGTTTGCAGCACATTGTATCCATTCCTATGGAGGTATGCTTTTAAATTTTAACACACAAGGGAAACAAGGAGGAAGAAGATTCAACTTTTTACAAAGGAATATCATTATAAGTAGTTATAAGTTATACATACTTGGGAAAGATATGAGTGATCAAAGATAGGTGAGATTACCTAGGCAAGACCTCCTGGATGACGTTACATTTTTTAAACAGTTTTGACAAAGGGTAAGGAAATCATTTGAAAATGGGAGCATGAGCCCTGGCCGGGTGGCTCATTTAGTTGGAGCATTGTACCGGACCACAAAAGGTTGCAGGTGTGATCCCTAGGCGGGGCGCATGTGAGAGGCAACCAATCGATGTTTCTCTCTCCGTCTCCCTCTCTCTCCCACTGTCCCTCCCTTTGTCACTCTCTAAAATCCATAAATATATCCTCAGGTGAGGATTTAAAAAAAAAGAAAAGAAAATAGGAGCATGAATCAGGTAGAAGAATGACTTGTAAGGTTCAGGTGTGAAAGTGAGCCTGGTTTTTATAAGGATAATCAAACAATTGTCCTTAAAAAGGGTAGAGAATCTTAGGTGATTGACTACTTTTAAAGATATTTTTCAGACTTATCACCTTCCGAAAATACTGGAATTGCCAGATTTTGGCCTGCTGGTGTAAACAAAAGTACACAGATTTGTTAACTTTATGCTCTCTCTTCTTTTAACAACAGTCTAGGAACATATGCATCATTACATGGGAGAATCTATTGCAAGCCTCACTTCAATCAACTCTTTAAATCTAAAGGGAACTATGATGAAGGCTTTGGGCACAGACCACACAAGGATCTGTGGGCAAGCAAAAATGAAAATGAAGAGACACTGGAGAAACCAGCCCAGCTTCCAAATGCAGGGGAGATGCCTCAGAGCCCAGGGGTAGAAGATGCCCCCATTGCTAAGGTGGGTGTGCTGACTGCAAGTATGGAAGCCAAGGCCTCCTCTCGGCCAGAGAAAGAAGACAAACCTGCCGAAACTAAGAAGTTAAGGATCGCCTGGCCGCCCCCCACTGAACTTGGCAGTTCAGGAAGCACATTGGAGGAGGGGATCAAAGTATCCAAGCCCAAATGGCCTCCTGAGGATGAAATCAGCAAGCCTGAATCTCCAGAGGATGTAGATCTGGATCTGAAGAAACTAAGACGATCTTCCTCACTGAAGGAAAGAAGCCGCCCGTTCACTGTAGCAGCTTCATTTCGAACAACTTCCATGAAGAGCCCCAAAACTTTGTCCCCACCTTTCAGGAAGGGCTGGAGCATGTCAGAGCAGAGTGAGGAGTTTGTAGGAGGAATAGCAGCAGGAAAGAAACAAGTGGAAAATGCCAACACCTCTGAAAAGAATGGGAGTGTGGAAAAAACAACCTGGCAAAACAAGGAATCTAAAGGAGGGGAGGCAGGGAAGAGAAGAAGTAAGGAGGTTTATGGTTTTGAGACGGGCAGTGAGAATCTTGTAGAAAATGGTGCAAAGTTAGATGAAGATGATAGAAACCTTTTCAAACAGCAGTCTCCACTAGAACCCAAGTCTCCAAATTGGTCCAGCTTTGCAGACAACACCTCCGCTAAAGAATTCTCTACTCAGAATCAGAAGTCCCAGGATGTGGAATTCTGGGAGGAAGATGTAGTCAAAGAGCTGTCCGTAGAGGAGCAGATAAAGAGAAATCGGTACTATGATGAGGATGAGGATGAGGATGAGGAATGATAAATCGCAGTGGTGCTGGGCCTTACCTTTGTGCTAGTGTTAGTGAGCCACTGCCCTTTATCAGAGTGATGTATGTAAACAGTTATCTTAGCATGGACTGTAATTTATGTGGAAGTAATTTTGGGAAACAGTGCTTGCTTCAGAAAAAAATTCCCATACTGCAGCTTATCTCTAAATCCTAGAGATAACATTACCTAAATCCTCTATTTTAGGGGTGAAGGGAATATTCTAACTGATATAGACCAGATTCCACTGTATTCCCAAAAGGCAATATGAAATAGATGAGTATTATAGTAAATTGTTAAACTAAAAATTCAATCGTACAGAGGGATTTAGGGGCCTAAACATTATGACTGAATGCACTTTAGTATAAAGGGCACAGTTTGTATATTTTTAAATGAATACCAATTTAATTATTTAGTGATCATCGGTTAAGAGATCAAATATTTAGTCTTTTTTAAATTTAGGTTAATTTTCATATTCAAATATATGTGAGAAATTTATTGCTTTGCATTCTGCTCTAAACTACATCCTGAACCGGATTCTTGAGATATAACAAAACCATCTTTCTGAAGCACCTCTTAAGCACTTTTGGTGCTTAAAGAGAACCACTGTCTCCCAAATAAACTAGAGTATTTGCCAATGAGTTTCACTACACCCCATGTGATTACTTTTTTCTCTGGTGGTGTCTTGTCTCATAATTTGCTGAAAACTGCAATATTTTAAATAAGATCTTTTATATTGCTGTTTGCCATGTTGCATATTAGAGCAAAATAAGTTTAAAGAAGGAATAGTATAGGAAAAAATGCCTTAAACCACTTGAGCTCAGATCCCCCACCCCCTAAACCCTATATTTCACTTCTGATAATCCGTTTCCGGGACACTAGTTTTAAAATTCCTATCAACTCTTAAATGTATTGATTTTTATGGCAGACAGTATTCCTAGGGTGCAATTAAACCAATTATAGGCCTTTATTGGGGGAGGGGGACGCGGAATTCTAGTATTAAGGCTTTAGAACATTTGTTGTACATAATTGATATTCCAAGTTGTGTGTGGGGAAGAGGTGTTTTAAGCTATAGGCTTTTCTTTGTACTGCATTTTTAGAGATTTGGCTCTAGTATTTTTTAGAGTTGTAAAATATTCTGCTTTCTTACAATCTTGCATACTCTGAAACATTTTTATTCAATAAAGCTTTTAATTTACATTTGAACTTTTCAATGTTTCTTTTCCATTATTATTTCGACATTGTTACAATCTCTCAGGACCTACTTGAGCAGTTTGAGAAGAAAAAAGTATGATGTGGTTTAAGTGAAGTGCAATGAACATATCTCACCGCTTGGTGGTGGTGTTGGGATGGTTTGGGGGCTTTCATCCTTCCTAAAGGAAGACAATTTTTTCTTGAAAATTGCAAGCAACTTGGCAAGAGAATTAATGTATACATTCAATGTGAGCCGTTTGTGTTACCAATTCAAAATTCAATTATTTTTTTACTTGTCAATTGTATTCAACATTTAATAATTTACCTTACAATTATGCCTAATATGCCAAATGGAACTTCCAAATGCCTCTGCTGAAAATGGACTTGTTTTCCACCCTGAGCAGAGACTTAGTTGATTATTTGATTTCCTTGCCTGTACAGACAGCTGACCCAATTGTTAAAGCACTTTTTAAAAATGGGAATGTGGATTTTCTTGGAAATAGGCATGCATTTTGAGTTATCTGTTATGTTTTCCAGGGGTACTGTGTGTTTCAGGGTTTTGCCTGGTCTTCTAAGTGGATGGCAGGGTCCCACTTTCTGTTCTTGTCCCACCACAAGCTGGAGTCAGGTAGAAAGCCTTGTTCACTGAACAGTTATCCAGAAGCTCCTGCCGACCTTTGTAAAATATCCAGTCCTGGCTTGAGTTTAGCTACTTTCACTGTGTGACTCACTGCTACTGTAACCCAACCACATGGTACAATTCCTACTGATTTTATACAAAAAATTCTGAGTGCCAGCAGCTGGCATTTTTATGCATATCAGTCGAATATGTCACCATACATCAGGTAAATGGAAACTGAGATTATACTTAGAAGAACTTTTTCTGTATATTTCAGGGGCTAAAGTAGATATATTAGAGGTATACAAAGTAGAAACAAAGACTAGCTCCATAATCCATGTGAGAAAAGGATGTCATTTCAAGGGAATGACCAGATAACAATGAGCATTCTTGGGGGGGGGGGCCAAACAAAAAGTTTATTTTCTCAGCTCTACTTCATGAAGGCAACTTGTTTGGACTTGACATGTCAATGGTGGAAATAGGACGATGTGAATTTCTCACTGGTATAGCAGAAAAAGGGGCCATCTTGTAACCTGAGATGGTTAAGGAAACTTTTCCTGACTGCTACAGAGCCAGCTTAGTGCCATCATCTTGCCGGCGGGATCACTCCTGGCCAAAGTGAAAGCTGCATCGTTTGCTTTCATTACATATTTAATGAGCAAAAATATGTTTTGTAACAACGAAGAGGTTGAGAAATGGTACAAGTATGTTTTTCTAGGGATTCATCTTTAGACCAAGATCATTGTGTGCTGGTTCCTGCATACCAAGTTAGCTTGTTCTCTATTCCTTGGGACTCTGACTTGAACACCCTTGGCATTGGGGAGAGATTCCTTCTTTTAAAATGTATCTTAAATATCCAGTAGTTATCATTGAACTATTGCTGGGTTTGGAGAAAAAATGGTTTCAGGCAGTAGTTCTCAGACCAGCAGCAAAGTCATCACCTGCTGGGTCTGTAGAAATGAGACATGCAAATTCCTGGACCCTACCCTGAACCTCCTGAATCAAGCTCTTTGGGTGGGGCTCAGGAAACTTTTAACAAACTCTCCATGTGGAATGGAATAAGCTAATGCCTGAGCTGGGGCACACTAAAGCTTGAGAACCACTGAACTAAAGAAAACCTAGTTAGTCTACTCCTTAGAATGACTGCTTTTTTGTTGTTTTGTTGTTGCTATTTCCCTTCTTGCTCTCTCTTTGAAACCTTTTCACTTCTGGGTAAGCGTGCCATACTGGTTATAGAGTTACTTTACCTGTCCTTAGACAAGAGGTAGAGATTTAGATTTTTAAACCGTTCTTAAGACCACTCTATGTAGCCTCTGGTGGTGGAGGCAGGCCCAGCTGAGAAGGCCATGTAAACTCTAGTGAGAGGGGAGTTGAAAGTAGAAATGGGTAGGGCTTGACTGGGAGCAGGACCAGCTTTGAGTCGGCTGAGCTGAGAGAAAGGAACGTCCCCATTAGGGAGCTGCGCTTGAAATAAGGGGTGTGGCGGTAGCTGGACGGGTGAGAGAAGGTGAAGCTTGGCCGAAACCTAAAGCAAAAAAGGGCGGACTAGAGCTGTGAGTCCTGCAGGGGTGGGGCCAGGGTTGGGTGAAGGCGGGGCAGGACGGGAGGGGGCGTGGCTCCAAGGCGGGATTGGGTCTGTGGGAGGCTCGGGGAGGGGTGTGGCCAGGATTGGAAGGCGGGTTACCGAGACTAGGTCCTGGGAATGTGCGGATAGGGAGGTGGGCGGGGAGGCGAGATGGGCGTAGAGGAGGCCCGGCTTCTCGGAGGAGGCTGGCTGAGACGTGCCGGGAACCAGAAGGGGCAGGAAGAGGGTGGCGGCCGGCCCGGCCCCGCCCCAGGGCCGCCTCCCCATGGGTTCCGTTGGCTGTGGCGGCTGCTAAGGTTGTGGCGGCCGCGGGGCGGGCGTAAGATGGCGACAGAGGCGGCGGGAGCCCTGGGCCTGCTGTGGGGCTGGCTGTGGAGCGAACGCTTCTGGATGCCCCATAACGTGAGCTGGGCCGACCTGGAGGGGCCGGGCGACGGCTACGGCTACCCGCAGGCCCGGCACATCCTCTCGGTGTTCCCTCTGGCTGCGGGCGTGTTCTCCGTGAGGCTGCTCTTCGAGCGGTGAGAGCCGGCGAGGGAGCGACGCGGAGGGCCGGGGGCGCGGGTCGGTGCGGCTGCCGCCGGGGAGAGGCCGAGGACCGGAAGCAGAACCGTAGGGAAAGCCCGGAAGCGGCGGACCGGGGCAGCTGGGGCCGCCTCGAGGGCTGCCTGGAGGGTGTCCGAGGTGGTCAAGAAACCTAGGCAAAGACAGAGATTGGGGCTTGGACAATGAAAGAGTGAGAGTCGAGGGGGACGCCGGGCCCATTTAATTTTAGATACTGGAGGCCGCTTGGGCGGGGGGCGGCTTATAGGCCTCCTCCCAACCTCCAAAGATTCTACAGACCTGAGAACTGCGGCCGAGAACCCGAAGTGAGGAACAGGAAAAGGGGCCACGGGAACCCAAGCTAGGTGGGGCCATGGAAGCTGAAGGGCCAACGCAAGAACCAGACGTTCCAAGCAAAAGGAGCGTGTTCGAAGGAGTCTAAGATTTGTGAGGACACTGTAGTTTCCGATAGTTGATTAGTTAAGCCTTAAACCTTGGTTTGTCAGCTCATGGATGTGTATGTGTGTGTGTGTGTGTTTCAATAAATTCTGCCAGAGCCCGTAGGAGAGTTGAAATCTGGTAGGGGTAGGGCGTGGTGGAGCCGGAGGCTTCGGAAGTATGGAAAGGTGTCAGTTTAGGTGAAGAACGGGCCTTGGAGGCCTGAGCTGGAAGGGGGAGTGGTCATCTTGAAAGGATGGAGAACCCTGTTGAACCAAACTTCCGAGTTTAGCAGGATCACAACATTCTTTGTTTGGCCATGTGTGGAAAAAAGTGATTTCACCTTTCCTTGAGTGACTGAATTGTATCTGTCTAAGATAGAGATATTCACTGAGAACTTGATGTGGTGATTTTGTGATGTGGATTTAAACAGCTGTGGGTGATTTTGGTCAGATCTACTCAGACTCTGGAAAGGACACTTATTTCCACTAGGTCTCAGGTAATGACGGGTGGCACTTTGACATCTTTTTTTCATGAGGCCTTCATCTAGAGCAGGAATGCCCTCTCTAGGGTGTTACAGATAAAATAATCTCATACTCTTTGGAAAATTAGTCTTATCTGTTTTGGATTACTTGTTTGATCTTCCTACTATTTAAGACACAAACTCTTTCAAAAATACTTGTCTATGTAGCTAGCTAGTCATTCATCCATAGTGTATGTATATTGTCATCAGAGTGCTCTGCCAGACTTCAAATGCAGAAATAAAGATGCTTTTAACTGAAGCAGGTGAAATACAAATATCTAAATGCTTTTTATACGTGCAGTTTTTAAAGTATAGTCATTGTATGAATGTTACTGGGGTGCAGACACAAACCACTTTTCTCTCTTATGAGTAACCTAGATCCTGGTACTCTTTACCCTGTCACCAGTGTGAGGGCTGAGAAAAGAAAATGATAGTGTAATGACTAAAAAGGAAAACACAATTCAAGACCCCCCCAAAAAAAGTTAATTGTCTTAGGAAAAGATTCTGTCCTTCTCCTATAAATATGTATCAATATGAAAATTTCTGCACCTTAGTGGCAAAAGGAAATAGTTCGTTGCTTATAAACACCCGTTTTATATAAACTTACATTGTCTTCAGATTTCCAAAGAGTTCCCCCAGATGGCTGAAGACTAGAGCCCCTGGCAGAGCCACTGGAAAAGATCCTTTACCTGTGGGAATTCTATCTGAATGTTTCTATGGTGCTCCAATGTCAAGGGAATACGGGTGCTTGGGAATACTGAGCTGAAAGCATTCTAGTATGATATTTCTTGGCTAGCAAGGACGGGTACCTTGTTCATCTCAGTTTGATCTTAGGAAAGTTGACCCTAGAAGCAGTCCTGCTATTTTGTTTCTTTTTAAGGCCTACTACTTTAGTTAGCAATAAAATTGTCTGCTGAATTACCAGTACCTCTTATTGTGCTGGTCTTCCATAAAGGTAATAAATAGAAGCCGTTCTTAGAGTATAGTAAAAGATATATCAGAAATATTGCTAGTGAGTCATCTTTGCTAATTTTTTCATTTCTCAAATCCTACTACTTAGTTTCTAGAAGTAATTCTGTAGTCATCATAGATTATAAGAGCTAGAATTCCAGTCTCCTCTTACAGTCAAATAAACTAAGTCTTAGAAATGTCCTGCTGCTTTTCATAGGTTGCATGTTAGAACCAAGATCTAGATAATTTTCCCCAGCCCAGGGCTCCTGACACTGTGTAAATGTGGCCATCTTTCCCTGTTCCTTAACCCCCGCTCAAGGGTTAAGATTTAACCTCCTGTTCCTAAT